GCCTTAATATTTGTTTGGGGGATGGACTGGAGGAGGGGAGCGTTGTGTATTCAGTTCAAAGCACTGTTCCTGCCCATATCCATCCACTGCAAGGTGTAGTAAAAAGGCAAATAACCAGAAAAACAACCACCTAATCATAAAAATGGAGGGACAGAATAAATGAAAATACACAGTCGGGTCATTGTGGGCCTCCGGCACCCTGCCGCCAAGGCTTACATGTTAGACGTGTCTTGACGGGTAAGAGAGGATATCTTTGATTATACAACATTACAAAGGTAAGTGTCACATACAAAAGTCCTTATGGTAAAGCTTTTCTGTAGCAGCAACTCGGACAAGGATTCTGCCGCACTACTTAGTCGGAGGAAGAAACTACATTGCTTCACCACCACGTACTGCCATGGAAGTCGATACATCCTGCAACTGTTTGGTTCTAACTTTTTTGTCAACCCTAACGGTATTATTTGGTACAAGCTACACCAAATCGTCGCTTATAGGAGACAATTTACATTAAGTGGTACATGATGTTGTACCAAACCTACACGATAAATTCCTGTTGGCTAGTGCGAAGGCAATATAAGAACTGTCGAACAAGAATCCCTCCTCGTGGAAGCCATACGTAAGCCCATAATGCACTCTTTTAATTAAATTGCATTTTTTACTCATCTTTAGGCAGTTTTGACCATCCTTAAATAATATCTTCGGTGCTTGCTACTAATATCGTTAATAAGTAGTTGAGATAGGACCTACGGTGAAATTTTTTGCAGGAGTGTGGAAATGAATTGTCAACTGATTTCCATCATCGTCGCCTTCATGATACTCACTGTCTACTTGGTCGATGGAGAGGAATCAGACACATTGACGACATCTGCAACTACACCTTCGATATTACCAATTCCAGGACCGTTGGAAAGATGGTTGAAACAAAAGAAGTGCCGAATCTTGCAGGGAACCTTTTTTGAGGGACTGATGCACTATCTAGCCATTGACGATGCCTGTAAGTCGCTAAAGATGGCGGTGACCTCCAAAGCCAAGGAAGAGTAAAGGCACATTCACACGATTTCTATGACCATTTTGTCATTTCATCCTAATCACTCTTCGCCCAACTATCAGGTTCGAAGGATCCCCCACCTCCATTATCATGGCATTCCTTATTAAATATATCGCAACCAAAACGGTTCTTCGCTAAATCCTTTGTAAAGTTGAGGAAGTTTAAAAAAAACAGACTGGGTTTGTTCGGGTAGAAATAGTTTATTGAAGGAAGTCGTGCAAATCGCATGACTTTTTTTATCTATTAAATTGACCAGATATGGATGCTCTCCTCTGAGGTAGTCGGCAACATTGTCTCTGCGACTAGTTAGTACGAACAGTCCGCCGTTTGAGAAGCATCGCAGGAAACACAGAAAGCGCATTATTTAGAATTATAGGGACGCTCTGCTCCATACATTACCTGAACGATCAAAGCTCCTGCATCCATTATGGTAATAATAAAAACTAGGCGTTACCTTATCTTCTACTCTTACGAGCTTTCCTCTGCCA